ATCTGCTGAAGAAATACTGCTCTGATTAAATCAGGAGAGCAACAGCCCCTTCTGCAGCCTCGCCACATCCTCTGAGCATTTCAAAGCAGGACTTGTTTTTAGAAGAAGTTGCAAAGCTTTTGAAGAAGGTGGCAGTAATAGGTGCCATTCTTCAGAGTCCTTAATCCACATTATTCTATGTTTTGAAAAATGAAGAGGGAGCTACAGAAAACTTAATAATTCAAGTTATGAATTCAGAGCCAACAAAGTTTCCAAGGCCTTTCGGATCAAGGGTGGTTTCATCCGATAAAAACGTTAGGGCATTCCTCTTTGGCAAAACACAGAGGCAGGAAAAGATCTTGGAATAGTTCTGAGGTCAGTCCCCCCCCCCAATCTTGCCCCCTTCTGTGAGGCAAAATATCTGAATTTTGCAGAATACTCGTACTTCATATACTGTATATACCAGAGTATAAGCCGGCCCGAATATAAGCCAAGGCACCTAATTTTAGCACAAAAAACTGGGAAACTTATAGACTCGAGTATAAGCTGGTTCACCACACCACATACCTGGTGGTGGCATCAGAGGCGGAGGAAGAACAAGCAGCCCGACTGCCTAACTCGAGTATAAGCCGAGGGGTGCTTTTCCAGCATAAAAAAATGGTATCAATATTTTTATTCATCTATTTTTTGCTGAATTTATACCCCAGCTTCTTTTTCTCCAAGGTGGCTCAAGATGGCATACAGGGTTCCTTCAATCCGCACAACTACCTTGTGATGTAGGCCAGGCTGAGGGGCAGGGACTGGCCCAAGGTCACCCAGCAAAGGGGCCAAATGAGGATTTGAACCCTGATCTCTCCAAAGTCCTAGTCCGACACTCTGATCCGTATACCACGCTGGCTCTCTATCCATCTCAATAGCACTACTTTATGTGTGCATTGATAAAAGATGTCTTTGTCTGCAGGTGCTAGCCAGCAGCCTTTGGAGGGGCGTGAGGGGGAAGAATCAAAATACAGTCCTGGCAATGATTGTTTGGGTTTCGACACGTCTCTTCTCCCTTAGGCATCTGCAACACTGCAAGCTTCATTCATTAAACCGAAGGCAGATGTAACAATGGCGGCGGCTGGACGTGGGATGTCACGAAACGAGAATGACAAAGGCCATGACTAAGCCTCAGGGCCGGACTCCTACGTGCAATTTATTTGAGAGCCAGCCTCGCTCTCATACTCAGGGCTTAATTCAGAATAAAAAGCGTGTGGTTTGCCTGCACGTCCCCATTGTTTTCCCGTGCTTTGCCCCAACTGAAGAACAAACGGAAATTAAAAGAGCTTCCCTTTGTTAAGGCAATTTTAATCAGTTTTTAGTATTTTGACTTTTGTATGTTTTAAAGCAGGGCTGCAAATTTTGATTTTGATTGCCTCGCCTTTTTGTCAACCGCTGTGAGGTTTTCTACAACCAAGCGGCGTATAAATTTTATTGATGCCGCTGCTTGAAGAAAATTAAATTTATTTATTTAGATTTTTATGTTTTTACCAACAACCAAACACCAACAGCGAAACCCCCCAGGCAGCTGATACATTGGGTATACATAATCAATAATAACATATTCAAATCAACCATATGTACACTTTTATACACGTTAGCACTCCTCCATCCACAAGGTTTTAACTTTTAACATTTTAATTGCCCCAAATTGTTCAAACCTACCCAAATAATTCAATATCTCCTCAAACCAATCCTCCTCTTTCTCACTGACCTTAAACCCTTTCACTCTGTGTATCTTCGCAGTTAGATATTCTAAAATTATAATATTATTCAGTTTTTTCCTCCATTGGGAAGAACATTAAATAGAACCTCACGGATCAGACCAACAGCCCATCCAGTGATAGACTCACAGACTGCAGAGCTAGAAGGGAGCCAAGGATCATCTAGTCCAACCCCAGGCAATGCAGGAATCTCAGCTACAGCATCCATGACAGATGGCCACCCAACCTCTGCTTAACAGCCTTCAATGAAGGAGAGTCCAGCAATTTCTGAGGGAGACCATTCCACTGTTGAGCAGCTCTTGCTGTCCAAAAGGTCTTTCTGAATCTCACAGGGGCCAACCAGCAAGCGAGATTCCAGCAACTGGTGTTCAGAAACATGGCTGCGTCCAACTGTGTCACCACAGCATAGCCACCGATAGCCCTCTTTCCCACAAATTTGTCTAACCCTCCTTTTTTAAAAGAGTTTTTTTAATTCAATTTTACAATTTAATCAGCATAATCAATTAACACAAATCACATAAGAAAATAAGCATACAGTCACACCTCGGGTTACAGACGCTTCAGCCTGCGTTTTTTCGGGTTGCGGACCGCCGAAACTTGGAAGTACTGGAATGGGTTACTTCCGGGTTTCGGCGACCATGCATGCGCAGAAGCGCTAAATAAGAAGCGCTTTGCACATGCTCAGAAGCGCCGAATCACAACCCACGCATGCGAAGACGCGGATTGCAAACGCTGCGGGTTGCAAACGTGCATCCTGCACAGATCATCTTTGCAACCCAAGCGTCCACTGTACATCCCATTTCCACCCACCCATAGACTTCCCTCAACTTCCCCTTCCAGTTCTTTCTAATATTTTCTCATTCTGCATATTCTAATCTAATCTTAATATCATTCCTCTTTACCTAAAAACTCTTATTTTCTTCCAAAAAAAATTATATCAAACCGTTCAAATCCCATATTCTACTTGTTTATTTCCACATCATTTTTCAACATCTACCACATTAGATATCTAACCCTCTTTTGAAGCCATTCAAGTCCGCAGCCGACATTCAAGTCTGCAACAGTGAGTTCCACAGGTTAACTGTGCGCTGCACGAAGGAGGACCTTCTTTTTTCTGTCCTTATCTGCCCATTCTTATCTGACACATATACAGTGGTACCTTGGGTTAGATACACTTCAGGTTAGATACGCTTCAGATTACAGACTCCGCTAACCCAGAAATAGTACCTCGGGTTAAGAACTTTGCTTCAGGATGAGAACAGAAACTGTGCAGCGGCGGCATGGTGGCAGGAGGCCCCATTAGCTTAACTCAGGTTAAGAACAGTTTCAGGTTAAGAACGGACCTTCGGAACGAATTAAGTACGTAACCTGAGGTACCACTGTAGAGGCAAAGGATGCGGAGCAGGGAAGGGGCCACTCAAAGTCTGCACAAGGAAAGTTCTAGAACTATTGCTGTTAAATGGAGAAAACAACAGCAGCAGCAAAAGTCCCCCAATTTTTTCGACCCGAAGGAGCTTTTAGTGATATTATTCAACACGCCACATCTGCTGTGTGTGGATGGTCACTGTGCCTGCAAACTGAACTGATGGTAGTCTAATGCTATTATTATTATTATTATTATTAGTGTATTTATTCTTTGATTTTCTTTTTTCATTTCCTTGTTAAAAAGAATAACTAAAAAGCAACATGCTACATCTGCACCATATATTTAAAGCATATTAATTTGTTCCGTTTTATTGTATTAATATCCCACCTTTCCAATGGGGCAGTGCGTACGGCTGTTAACCAGAAGGTTGGTGGTTGGTTGAAGCCTATTCAGGGGCAACAGTGCAGGGGGTTGGACTAAATAGAGTTGGCATATTTTGAAAAGCAAAAAAGAGGACACATTTGCCAACTCCTACTTTTAACTACGGTTCACTAGGAAGACTCTCATTTCAAATGCCCCTACAATACGTAGGCTGTAGAAGCTGTGACATATTGCTAGTAGCAATGTTCCTAACTTTCAACATCATCATAATAATAATACAACATATTGCTCCCTCACTTGCCACATGTAAGTATTTGGACTCATGTTCACATCTTTGTGAACATAAGTGTGCACAGAACAATTTATTAAACTGTTTTTAACATGTACATAGGGACATGGGTGGCGCTGTGGGTTAAACCACAGAGCCTAGGACTTGCTGATCAGAAGGTTGGCGGTTCAAATCCCCGCGACAGGGTGAGCTCCCGTTGCTCGGTCCCTGCTCCTGCCAGCCTATCAGCTCGAAAGCACACCAGTGCAAGTAGATAAATAGGTACCGCTCTGGCGGGAAGGTAAACGGCGTTTCCCTGCACTGCTCTGGTTCGCCAGAAGCAGCTTAGTCATGCTGGCCACATGACCAGCTGTATGCCGGCTCCCTCGGCCAATAAAGCGAGATGAGCGCCGCAACCCCAGAGTTGGTCACAACTGGACCTAATGGTCAGGGGTCCCTTTACCTTTACCTAACATGTACATAATGGGCTCTCCTTAAGGACAGGGGGGATGTTAACTCTTGCCCTCCCAGACTCCTTCTCCAAAATCTTGTAGCTGAGCCAGTGTCCTTTTAGTTCAGCCACAAGAGAAGGGATTGATACAGTATGCAGCTAGTTTAAGATGCTGCTCTGATTCTCTGCTGCAGACTAGCTTAGCCAAGTATCTTAGATCTGAGTCTAATGCACTAAAAAAAATTTATTGGGTTACTGGAAACAAAAAAACCCAGAAATTTTAAAAATCTACCTTGATAGAAGTTTTAATCCTGGAAAAGAGGACGTGTGGTGGGGGAAAGAGGACATATGGCAATCAGACCTGAAAAAGAGGACGTGTCCTGGAAAAAGAGGACATATGGCAACCCGGTGTGGCCCTCAGGGTCCCTTCCAATTCTACAATTCTATGGTTCTCCAAGCAGCTCAAGGTGGTGTATGTGGTTCTAGCCCCCTCATTTAATTCCCACAAGAAACCCTGCAAGGCGGGTTAGGCTGAAAGGCGATGCCTGGCCCAAGGCCAGCCAGTGAGCTTCAAGGCCGAGTGGTGATTCGAACCCTGGTCTCCCAGGCCTTAGTCTGACACTCTAACCACTGCACCACACTGTCTGTTGCTGTTTGTGGCGCTGCTACACCTGCAGAATCCTGGGGATTGTAGTTTGTTCAGCATCTGGGTCTTTTCGTATCAGCAAAGGTGTTCCAGAAGAAATGAATAAATGCAAACAACAGACAAAAATAAACAAGAGGGTCACTGACCTTTGGGAAAAGGGAGAAGGTTTCGTTGTCGATGGTGAAGGAGTACAGAAATTCCCCGTCATACCACAGGTTCTTCCCCACCGGAGAGTTCTCTTTAGTCATGGCAAAGAAGCGCCCAGGGTCACAGCAATCTTTCAGTAGTTTCCTAATGGAGAAAGTTGAGTAGAGAAAAAAGACAACTGAACGAGACCAATTGATGAGAGCCCAACCGAGATATGCTAGGATTTGAACCCAGGGCCTGCAAAGCCAGTGCTCTAAACACGGCAGCTAAAAAAGCCAATGCAATTCTGGGCTGCATCAATAGGAGTATAGCATCTAGATCAAGGGAAGTAATAGTGCCACTGTATTCTGCTCTGGTCAGACCTCACCTGGAGTACTGTGTCCAGTTCTGGGCACCACAGTTCAAGAAGGACACTGACAAACTGGAACGTGTCCAGAGGAGGGCAACCAAAATGGTCAAAGGCCTGGAAACGATGCCTTATCAGGAACGGCTAAGGGAGCTGGGCATGTTTAGCCTGGAGAAGAGGAGGTTAAGGGGTGATATGATAGCCATGTTCAAATATATAAAAGGATGTCATATAGAGGAGGGAGAAAGGTTGTTTTCTGCTGCTCCAGAGAAGCGGACACGGAGCAATGGATCCAAACTACAAGAAAGAAGATTCCACCTAAACATTAGGAAGAACTTCCTGACAGTAAGAGCTGTTTGACAGTGGAATTTGCTGCCAAGGAGTGTGGTGGAGTCTCCTTCTTTGGAGGTCTTTAAGCAGAGGCTTGACAACCATATGTCAGGAGTGCTCTGATGCTGTTTCCTGCTTGGCAGGGGGTTAGACTCAATGGCCCTTGTGGTCTATTCCAACTCTATGATTCTATGACTGAGCTACAGGCCTTCAGCGGGCAGTCAGCGTGGCCAAAGGGCAAAAAGGACGGGTGTTTTGGTTCAACAGCAAATAGAGGACCGTGGGATCCATACAAAAATAAACCAGTACAATCTACTAACATGTTCCAAATGCCTGCCAACTCTACTCATAATAAGACTGCCACAAGACTGTCATTACAGTTCCTCTGAAGGAGCAGGTATGCAGTTTGGGGACACTTCTGGATCCCTCCGCAAAAGTGGATCTACTCCCCCCCCAAAAAACCCTTTTGGTGAAAAGCAGGTGTACAGAACCTCTGCCCTGCCAGGCCCTGCTGAACTACAAACTCCCATCATCCCTGGCCATTGGCCCTGCTTGCTGAAGCTGGTGGGAGTTGTAGCTCAGCAACACCCGGAGGACCAAAGGTTCCCAACACCTGGGGAAGAGGGAAAAAATATCCTGCTCATCAGCTGCGACAGGGAGAGGAGAGTATTCTGAGCATCCGGGCGCCTGGTATATAATCGACAGCGTTCTATATGGCAGGAATTGCTTGCATCCACTTACAAAACTCAAGAGGATATTTCCGCTTGATTCTATTCCAGTCTAAAACCTGCCCTGATGGTAACCTGCCGGGAACCCCAAAGCCAGCTTGCAGAGATGCCCGCTGGCTGCTGAACTTTCCCAGTTCCTGCCATCTGCTGCTACTGCCACACAAGCCCTTTGTCCTGCCCTCTTCCCTGCAGTTCTTCCCATGCGTCTCTTTGTCACAAATCCTGCCCTTTGAAACAGCCCTCCTGCAGATAATGGAATTACTTCTTCATCATGCAACAAATAATTCCCCCCACCCCACTTTCTATTCTTGGTTCTCAGCTTCCTAGTACTGAGACAGAAAAAATATAGATAAATGGATCTCTTTTAAAGCACCTGGAGATTTTAAACCCCCCCCCCACACACACACACAAAACCCTGCCGGTTACACAGCAGTGGCGATTTGTGCCATGCTGCTAAATTCAAAACGAAGGCATCAGTACAAATTATATTAACCTGTACCTTCGCCCAAAATAGTTATTGTTGAGCAGTATGTAATGCAGAATAAAAGCCCTTATATATATCTGGATACTGTGATCTATTGAGCTGTTTCTCATACAATGGTAATCCAAAGCATGGCTAAGCGTGAATGAGAGAAAAGGAATGTATGGAGTGAAAATCAAATCTATTTCACTCTTCCCCTGGTCATCGTCCTCCTGCCGCACTAGCCAGAGCTAAGCCATGGACTAGCTTAGTGTTCTGCCCAAACTCAAGCTGATGGGTTGTCTCACTTCAAACAAACCATGGGTTGTACCATTTGTTTGTTTGTTGTTGCGAGCCCTTGAACCACTGAGCCTCTTGGGCTTGCTGATCAGAAGGTCGGCGGTTCAAATCCCCGCGACGGGGTGAGCTCCCGTTGCTCGGTCCCTGCTCCTGCCAACCTAGCAGTTCAAAAGCACGCCAGTGCAAGTAGATAAATAGGTATCGCTGCAGTGGGAAGGTAAACGGCGTTTCCGTGCACTCTGGTTTCCGTCACGGTGTTCTGTTGCGCCAGAAGTGGTTTAGTCATGCTGGCCACATGACCTGGAAAGCTGTCTGTGGACAAACACCGGCTCCCTCGGCCTGAAAGCGAGATGAGCACTGCAACCCCAGAGTCACCTTTGACTGGACTTAACCGTCCCTTTTTTACCTTTACTAGTTAAGTACTGGTACTAAGTTAAGTTTACTTTTTGCAAATACTTTAATAAAATCCCAACTCTTAGCTATGTATATAAATTTATTGTAAACAAATTGAATAAAACCAAAACCCCAATGTTTAGCTGTCTATGTAAATATATTATAAATAAATTGAATAAAACCCAAACTCAATGCTTAGCTATGCATCTAATGCAGGGAGGAAGAACTTGGTACCCTTCAGATATTTGCAGGACTACATCTCCCATCATTGCTGACCACTGGTCATAGCGGTTGAAGCTGATGGGAGCTGGAGTCCTGCAACATCTTGAGGGCACTGGGTTGCCTACCCCTAACCACGTGCGTCTCGTCTCAAACAGAACCACACACCGAATTCCAAGCGCAGTGACACCATAGGACTTGAGGTGGTCCTTCTTGATGCAGTACAGCTGCTCCTGCCACCAAGCTATGGCTTTGGGGAAATGTTGTGAGCTCTGCAATCACAGCTGAGCACCTATATTTGATTGGTTATGACAGATTTTCTGAAGGGGAGCAGACAGCAGCATCTATCGGAGAGCAAATTGCAGCTCTATAAGTGCGAATCAGCAAGTCGTAATTAATGAGATGTTTCTCCTTGCCATTCTTTGGCCGCTCTGACTTTTAATTTTCATGAAGCTAGGATTTTGCTGATAGCACAATGCATTCCCCACTTAAGTGATTGGGTGTTTAGGGGTCACCTCATTAATTCCTTCCAGGACGCAGATTCAGGATCACTTGATGACAATGAGCTATTCCTTAATGGTTTCCAGTCACCTTGACCAGCGTGACCAGCAGCGGCACTTATGCACCTGGAAGCATGTGCAAGAGCTCAGCATGGAAACTAACAGGGTTCCCAAGCCATATGGAGTGCATGTCTAAAGTGGTGGGTGTTATAACAATTTACAAGTTGCCTTGGCAGATTCGCAGGGTTAAAATGCAGGAGAACCACTCCAATTGTCAACACCATCGTTTTCTCTTTGCACCTGACATTTCCCCATCTGGAAAACAGATGCTCTAGCAGTCTTAAATGTGCTTTCATGTATTATCTCCCTTCTCGCTTGCTTTTCTCGCCCTCTATGGTCAGCGCTGATTTGAATACTTTGTGACTCGTTTCTGCCCAGATATGCATATGGATTCATTGGGTGTTATATCACAGCAGCTCCTATTAGCCTGGTGCCCTCCAGTGGTTTTGGACTACAACTCCCATCAGCCACTGGGAGCTGAAGTAAAAGGTAAAGGTAAAGGTACCCCTGCCCCTACAGGCCAGTCTTGACAGACTCTGGGGTTGTGCGCCCATCTCACTCAAGAGGCCGGGGGCCAGCGCTGTCCGGAGACACTTCCGGGTCACGTGGCCAGCGTGACAAAGCTGCATCTGGCGAGCCAGCACAGCACACGGAAACGCCGTTTACCTTCCCGCCAGTAAGCGGTCCCTATTTATCTACTTGCACCCAGGGGTGCTTTCGAACTGCTAGGTTGGCAGGCGCTGGGACCGAGCAGCGGGAGCGCACCCCGCCGCGGGGATTTGAACTGCCAACCTTTCGATCGGCAAGCCCTAGGCGCTGAGGTTTTTACCCACAGCGCCACCCGCGTCCGGGAGCTGAAGTGCAAAACATCTAAAGCAGCCTTTCTCAACCTGTGGGTCCCAGATGTTGTTGAACTACAACTCCCATCACCCCTAGCTAGCAAGACCAGAGCTCAGGGATGATGGGAGTTATAGTCCAACAACATCTGGGGACCCACAGGTTGAGAACAGCTGATCTAAAGGGACACCAGGGTGGTCAATTGTCTCTACCTGCTTCGCTGTCTTCTCTCGGCTGAAAACACTGATAAGGTTCTGGAGTTTTTAAAGAACGAACCATCGTGTTCCCTACCACTACGTCCATATGGTAGCCATTGTCAAAGATCTAAAAGGCTGTCACATGGAAAGTGGAACAAGATTGTTTTGTCCTGCTCCTGAGGGGTAGGACTCGAAGCAATGGCTTCAAGTTACAAGAGATTCCAACTAAACACCAGGAAGAGCTGTTTGACAGTGGAACAATCTCCCTCGGGAGGTTGTGAACTCTCCTTCTAAGTCAAGGTTAGATGGCCACCTGCCATAGATGGTTTAGTTGAGATTCCTGCATCACGGGGGTTGGATGATGATGATGATGATGATTAATTATTATTTATACCCCGCCCATCTGGCTTTGTTTCCCCAGCCACTCTGGGCGGCTTCCAACAGAATATTAAAATACAATAACCTATTAAACATTAAAAGCTTCCCTAAAGAGGGCTGCCTTCAGATGTCTTCTAAAAGTCTGGTAGTTGTTTTTCTCTTTGACATCTGGTGGGAGGGCGTTCCACAGGGTGGGTGCCACTACCGAGAAGGCCCTCTGCCTGGTTCCCTGTAACTTGGTTTCTCGCCAGAAGGCCCTTGGCACTCGACCTCAGTGTCCGGGCAGAACAATGGGGGGTGGAGACACTCCTTCAAGTATACTGGACCGAGGCCTACCTCACAAGGTTGTTGTGATTAGATGAGGAGGGAGAGAACCACATATGCCACCCTGAGCAA